TTACTACTGAAATGAATTAAGTAGACAAATCATCATGAAAAATGATGAACTAGCATAATAGCATATATTAACATTAACTGGAGCAATCAATGGTTGCAATTAAACCTCCCCTACTCTAGTTGTGGCAAAAGGTGATATAAAGACATCAGTCTGTTCTAAGACCTATGCAGTGCCATCATCATGACAAAATGTCGTTGAAATAAATTTAGTAGAAATTTCTACAGTGTGAATTATTTCAACTTCAGTTTTCAAACCATACTTTGTAGTATCCAGTAATCATAAAGATTTGCGTGAAACAGTTTTTTCAACCAAAGAGATGTACAAAATATCAACAGAATCTTTCACAGAAAGCAAATATGTTCTACAAATGGGAGTAACTTTGTGTATTATTAATTGGACACTAGTCAGTATCTAGTGTATTGTAACTAGTTCTTAGTTTGGTGCAGATTCAATTCCCTCTGTCAACTTTTCAGTGTGACCACCATTCTAGGTGGCTCACCATCACGGCGCACTTTGAATTGTTGGCATTGGATGGCTGGAGGCAATCGTCTGAAAGCCCTGAACCTAGGTCTCGAGCTAGTTGGCACTCACCAGTCAACAAGGAGTATCTGCAACCTTCAAGGAACTCATGTCACTCCTGAGATTCGAACCCATGTCACCCAATGCTGCAATCAGAGACGTTACCACCGAGCTATTCAGGCTTGAGGTCTTACTCCTGTAGGAGTGTACTGGATACTTCGATTGGACACTAATTTGTCCTATCTTTGGTGCAGACTGAATTCTATCGGTCACGTCTGCAATTTTGTACAGCATAGAGGGTAGTATAATTATTGCTTTAGGTTTTATTTATCCGAGCTTTTAAAATTTGTATGAACGTTATCATTACCATTTGTAGGTGGAGTCTCTTGCACTGGGACAAGAATAAACTTGTCGTCAACTCCTTACTCTTTAAATCACCCAGTATGGTATTTATTCTGTCTGTTTCATTCTGACTCACGTCGTTATTCCTGCGTGTATTTATTTATTCAATTTTCGTGCATTTAAGGATGTCAGTGTATTTCGTCTTTGTCAGATGTATTTATTTTCAGGTATTGGTTTTGTAGGGATTTTGTTTGGTTGCATGGAGGATTTAATCATGAGCTGACATCAGTCAGAGAACCACTGGAAAACAAGCTGAGAGTACTGGACAGCTTTTTCCTCCATCCTAGTTTGGGACTCTTCAACAGTGCTCACCCACCGCCAGGGTTCGAACCCAGGACCTTCTGGTTACAAGGCGAGTTCGTAGACCATTGAGCCACTGGGACCCCATTTATATTCTATTTTCTACCCGTCCTACCATTTATTTGTTTTTGCTGACATCAGATGCATTTATGTTTCTTCTTTCCCCAATTTTCGAATCAATTATCATGTCAACTCTAATATTTATCACATTTGAAAACATTCTACTTTGCCAAATATACTTCGCTAAGTTTTATTTCACTTTCATGCTACAAGCTTTGCAATAAACATCTTAGATATTATCAGTATTCCTATAACTTCACCAGAGCATTCCCATTCTATAGTCTTCTTGTTATTGATCTGACTTGATCGGAAAATGAATTTAGACAGCTTTTTTCTTCATAATATCCCGTTACATGATAATTAAAACACTTGATATTTATCTGTAAATGCAAATTTTTGAGCTTGTTTTAGTCATTGTGTGCTCCAGGCTGGATAGTTCACCGACAAAGCTTTCATTGTCTTTTTAGACAACGTCTTAAGCGTTAACTTCTATGTGAAGTGAGTTTTTGTAGAAGTTCTCTCTGAATAAAATAATTGTAACTCCTGATAACCATCAAGGTGAATAACTCCGTTCAAAGTTTTTCTTAACCTAGCGTTTATTTACATTGGTACTGATTGTATGGTTGCCTTGGTATCTGACCTCTTTGTTGTGTGGCATTCTTTATTAACAGATCAGTTTTATCTGTAACAGAATGTCCGTTGTATGTAGTTTGATCCGACTTCCTGGTATCCAGGAATTCTTTATCATTGTGGTATTGCTGATGTCTTACACAATTAGGCAATCCTTGTGAAACTGGTGCTAGCAGTTACCAACATGTATGCGTTTTAAGGAAATTACGTCTCTACTGTTGTCAGTAAGTTTGAAATCAAAGAGAATGTTCTGTTTGGCTAATATATTTATGTAAGATGACCAATAATATTAATGGTTATCAAGGGGAATAGTTATATCATTCATGTAGAATTCCAAAACAACACCACATCGAGGTTAAAGTTTACGACGCTATCTAGATGAATAGTGTGAACTTTATAATTAAACCATCTAGTTCAGACCATACCACACTGAAAACAACCACCTGAGCGGCAAACACCCTGCATTATTTCTAAATCCTCTGAGAGAAATACATTCTTTTTCTCAAGTGAAAAACAGCTAAACAATGAAGAATGGTCATTATAATAAAGGTTTTTGTATTTCCCAATGAATGAAAAACAAAACGACACTGTTTTTACTGACATTTCTCTATTTAATGCTAACAGCTTTATCGAAGTATTAATAAACCAGTATTTACAAAATCTCATCATATATATAACAACCTAGTCATCGTTCTCCAGTGCTTCTGAGATTAGATGCTCTTTGTGATTGCTGAAATGTTTCTGGATTTTTTCAATATTGTCAAAATCAATTTTATGGCTTGATTTTATAACATGTAGACCTATGGCTGATGATTTTTTAAGCTTTTTTAGTTCAGTTGGAATAATCGGTTGTTGGAAAGATGCTCTACGGTGTTCATTTCTTCTGATTTTGATTTTCTGTGATGTTTGTCTGGTGTATATCGCATCACATTCAAAGCATTTTATTTTATAGACACAAATAGATAGGGAATTTTTAGGCATTTAGGCTTTTTTATGGACAAGGTTGTTTTGTAGTGTGTCTGATGTTTTGAAGAAAACTCTGATGTAGTGCTTATTTAGCACTCTTCTGATATCGTCTGACGTCTCTGCTCTATGTGGAATGACAACTGTTAAGGTCCATATTTTCGGAATACTTTTTCGAACATACTTAATTTCAGTGTTGATCTTGTTGATGAAGTTCTTCAGGAAGTTGTTTTTCTTGGGATTTTCACTAATGTTTAATATTTCTTCTTCTTTTCTTTCTCATCCGTTAGCGAAGAGTGTGCTTGTCTAAAAAGACTTGAAACAACTGATACCTTTGCGCTGATGGTGTGTGATGATCTGAAGTCTAAATATTTGTTGGAGTGGCTTTTTCTTCCTGAATATAGATACACTAAAATGTCTGTTTTCCATCCTCTTAACTAGGCAGTCTAGAAATAGTAATTCACTGATGTTTGATTCTGCTTCAGAAGTAAACTGGATTCTGGGAGATAGACTGTTCAGTTTCTCCAAGAATGAACTGTGTAGATCTCGTTTTAGCACTACAAAAGTATCATCTACATATCTTAACCATATTTTAGACGTGAGTATACTTGAAATGATAGTTCTTTCGAGTCTGTTTATGAAAAGATCAGCGACTGTTGGAGAAACTAGTGAACCCATAGCAACAACATTTGTCTGTCTATATAAATTCCCTTTAAATGTAAAATAATTACTTTCTAGACAGAATTTTTAGTTCTTAATTAACTCAATGGTGTCCAGTGGACATCTTTGTGAAAATTGGAAATCGGAAATTCTCTCTGGTTTAAACTAAAACCATAATCCCTTGTACCTTCAACATACTAAGGTCAACCAAAGATACATAAACCCACAGTTCCATTAGAACCAGTGGTAGATTTTACCAACTCACCGACATACAACCTCTCCAAATACATATTTTCGATACTACAACCATTGCGAAAAGACACTCAAAATATTGTAAAAGATTCATAAGATTTCAAATCCCAAATACAACACCGAGAAGTGAACTTGGTTTGGACATATATAAGGAAAAATGTTATCACTGTCTTTGATAAATATATACCATTCAAGTCAGAATGTTAAATACTTTTCATTCCTAACTAAAAAAACTCAAATGTACTTTTTTGATTGTCTACTGTTTATACATAACAATCCTAGTATAGTTTGTTATGTGACATTGTTTTAGTTTTTGCACTCTAAAATATTTCTCCGGTGGAATGAAACAAATCGATTGTGCATTAAGATTACATTTTCGAATTTATGTAAATAACTATGTATTAGTTTGTCGGAGGAGAAAGGTTAGAGAATTTATATATATAAGTTGACAGGTGGCTGTGTAGGTAACGGCATATCTACACAGAAGCAGAAACTTACGTCGAATCCAGTATAGAAATACACAAAAGATGACAGTTATTTTCTAATTTTATACTGCTGCATATTTCTAAACACTATATAGGATAAATTCTTCTGGGTAGATAGAACTGTGTGCCAAATGGTAACATATGTGTACGTAAAAATTTGGGCATCCACACCCACACAAACAACACACACACACGAACACACAAAAAACACAGCACATATAGTCAAGTTAGGGATTGTTAAACGAATAAACTGTGCATTAAGTTGAACCAATCAAAAATCATTTGGTTTACATTATAATTAGGAAAAAAATTGGTCACACTGATAAATACAATTTCCCAAAAAGATTAAAAATATTTATGGTGAAAATGTTTTGTAATGAATATTAATGAGTCATTGTGCACAATAAGAAATATCTATAGATACATACAGACATTGTTCCCTATTTCGAATCAACGTCGATAATATTCATCCGACTTCTTTTCGTTCTTGATTATTGAAAGCATTAAAAATCATACTACTTACAACTTACATATTACCATAAATAAAGACAAATAGTAGATCCTTTTTAACATCTTTGATACAGTTTAATAATTCCATAAAGTTATTTTTGAGAAAAAACACACCTACAAATCATTTGTTCAACTGAATTATCAATTGAATTTTTGTTTATTTTTCTTATCTTTTTCTCAATTCAATCAAAATAATGTTGGGTTATGTTACAATTGAAGTAGAAGGAGGCGATATGGACGGTGCTGCACGTCATGCTCAAAGATTAGCTGGTAATTTTCTTGATGATATGGAAGCAATACAAAAAGCTTCACGAGCAAGAGATAGACGAGCTATGAGTCATTTCGAAACTAATTCTCTTGTAAGTTTCAAACAATTTTTATATGAATGTATGCATGAATGTAATTAATCTTATTTCATAATCAGTGAACAATAGTTGGTTTTTATAACTTCACTACAATATATATTCTTTGGCGCCCATTTAAACCATTAACTAATATTATATAGTAAATGTGTTATTTTTGATAGATATAAGCCAGAAGGAATAAATATACAGCTGTGATGAGTATCAGGATTTCATCATGAGCTGACATTAGTTAGAGAACCATTGGAAAACCTGGGAGTACTGGACAGCTGTTTCGTCCTAGTTTGGGACTCCTCATCAGTACGCACACCCGGGATTCGAACCCAGGACCTTCCGGTTACAAGGCGGCTGTATACCATTAAGCCACTGGGACCCAATGAGATGCTCACTGGCGACTGGCCCTATTCAGGTACGTAGTCACCTGGGTTCCAGTGGGAAGTCGTGACCATAGGGTGCAGCCGGTCGGGTGTGAGGACAAATACTCGCCGAAGACATTGGCTAGCGGTCGCGCTATGTCGTGAATTGGCAGAAGTTAGAATTCAAGGACCAGCTCATGATGAAATCCTGAAACCAATCAAATCCCTACAAACCATCACTTGAATGTGATGAGTATTTTGGAAACATGATCTTTTATGTGATATTCGTTCTCATAACTGATTATTTTAAATAATGATATTAAGCGACAACATCGATAAGCAGCTATCTCTCCTTACTTAAGGAATGTTTATCTAATTTCAATTTGAGACGAAGTTAATCATGAAAAGCAAAATTAGGCCCTTACAAACTCAACAAGCCCAGTTACTTTTTTGTCGAAGCGACATCATTTTTAGCTGATTTATGTAATGTTTCACTAGTGTCAACGTTAAATTGACTAAAGTTACATGCATTTAACACTGCCAATAACTCTACTTTCGATATCAAATGATGTTACATCATTGATGCTGAAATAAAAGAAGGAAATTTTCATCTACTTGTTATGATTACTATCACTTTCTGAATATTTCCGTTTCTGGCATAAAATTTACAATCTTTTTAAAGGACAGATGTGAAGTAAAATATTCACCTGAAAATTAATACATTCTTTTCAATTTCCAACATATTCGTAAATATTTGAATGAAAAAAAAGTTTTGCTTAAATTCATGAATTAGCTTATTTAAAAAAGTGAAGGACACTTTCATTTTGCAAGGACATTGAAGAACTTTGATTTAAAAACACAAAAGTAATCAAATTTAGAGAAATACATAAACAAAAAGTCTTTTATCTGTCCATTTTAATGACAATAACTATTCGCTTAATCTAACTTCTACTAACTGTCACGAATACAGCGAAGATAGTTCAGAAATTCTGTGTGTATACAATGAATAATCAGTATATGATCATAAGATAACAGACAACTGTGTATATGCCTAAATATATCTAAAATTGTCCGCTAACTAGATTTACGATGTAGCTTTATAAAAAGTGGTAACGTCAATAGAATACTGAAGATTTTTAAGCATCTATTAAAACAATCTTAGATTTTTTTTCAGTTTGGACCGACTACTATCATTTTTCAATTGCAGGTGTACGTTTTCTTTCATTTGCGATAAACAGAAATATCACCGAAAGATAATAAATAAATCTTTGGAGACACTAATCATAAAATTCATTAATATTTAGAGAAATTAGTACTATCGTGTGAATAAGAGCACAGCAAATGCTTATTGTTTAGATCATTTTGATATCCTCTTTAAAGAATAGTACTAACTAAAAAAAGAAAAGTAGTACAAGATTGCACCTGATATAAAATGTTTTTCTGTGAAGAGTTTTATCAGTACCACACTTTCCTTCTATTACTAACAACAAATTCATGTTATGTTTAGTTTCTCACCTTGCCTACACTTGTAAATATATGTGTGCCTAGATATGTATTAAGCTTGAGTGACACAACATGCATAAACATAAGAAGTTTTATTGCATTTTATGAAGGGAATTTGGCAAGGAAAACACTTTTTGGCTGGATATGTTGAATAAAAAAAGATGATTGCCACATGCGTATATATGTATAAAGTACCAAACATTTATTGAAAAACGAATTTATCAGCTTTAACACAAAAGCCTAAAGATTAGAGAAGTAAACACTTTTGCTACTAACAAACGAAATTTGGAACAATTGTGTTATTAATTCAGTTTTATTAACAAAAGAACGAAGATTGAACTATACATGGATTTTCTTGATAAACCTTAAGAATAAACTGCACTCAAATGTGAGTGAAAACACATAGTTCAGCGAAGAGTCTCTTTTCGGTGAATTCATTTTCTTAGCTGTACAATCGCAATTATATGTGAGGTATTTTGAATGTATGTATACATTAAGTTTGTTAAACAAAAATACAATTGGTTATGGTGAAAATAAGTAAGTTTGTGGTAGAGTTACGCAATACAAAAACGGTGAAGAAAATTGGGTGTTAGTGAAACTAGTGCAGCAACAAAGGCGATGAGTTGTCACAAACAGTTGTTAAAAGAAGTTATGTAATAATATGAATAGTTTAATCATTGAGTTATCCTCAGGATACTCATAGGAACAAAATAGAGAATACGAAATTAAGTAAGATTTCTAAATTAATACAAGAATTATAAACAATCAAAGGTACAGGCAAATAAACAAAATTAAGTCATCAAAAATCAACAACGTTGTTACCATGATAATAGAAGTGGCTGAATATTTTTCTTTTCTATGAATAATTGTGGTTCTTCTAACTGAATGGCTAAGGCTTCTGCAACACAAAGAAGACGGAAACGCATTGTCTTTGGCAGATTTTTCTTCTCTTTGTAAATTACTTTGAAGGAGGCGTTTGTAGAGATGGGATGATCAGTGTTAGCCAGCTGTTAACTGATCACATTCCTTATAGCACCACTACTGCCTTTTCGCAACCAAGCTGGATAGTGTTCTTGAATGCTCTTAGACAGGGTATGCGTCGAACGACCGATGTACTTGGCTTCACAGGAGCAGGTGAACAGATATATGCACAAAGAAGTGGTAGGATGCAGGATCTTGTCCTTAAGGCTTCAGCAATAGAATATTCCAAACTCAAGATAATTCAAGGTTCCACATAAGTTTGAATAAAGAACAGCTGAATATATATATATATATATATATATATATATATATATGTGAATTAATAGCTAGTAAACCTTTCAGTAGAAAATCTTGTATGAAATGTTAACGCATTCATAGCTTTCTGCACACAGTCGTGAATGGAAGGATAGACCAATTCAATAAACAAAACGAAAAATAAGTAAGGTCAAATTTTGAGTGGGAAATATCATTATTTGGCCCAGAGGGATCAAGACGGTGAGATTTGGAGCGGCTGGATAAACTTTTTCTGGGTGTAAAGATCTAACTTTTCTTTTTCGATAGCCAAAACTTCAGCAATACAGATGATTCGGATACGCAATCATTTCGACAAATTATTCATCGCCTTGTAGAGGGCTTTTAAGAAGCTGTAGACATAGGATGACTAGTACTGACCAGATATACAATGACTGCGCTTCTTCCAGTCCCACTTCCACCTCTTCGTAACCACACAGGAAAGTGTTGTCACACCCTCTTGGATAAAATCCGAATCAAACTACCAATATACCTAGCTCCACACGAGCAAATGAACTGTTAAACACAAACAGAGTTGGTCAACTGCGGGAACTAGTCTTTCAGGTTAATGAACAGTAGTGGTCAACTGGAAAACGCTATTCTTAGTGGAGCTACTGCTAATGTTCTTTTCAGGGACTGTGAAATCCGTTCTTTAAGGATGTTGACAGCCAAGCCACCTTTTAGATCAAGGTTCATGTACAGCATTTTCTATGTTACAGGCATTAAATCACATTTCATAGGTTTCGAGTGTATATTCTTGTCTATGAAACGTAGAGGAAATCCATTTTCCACTAGGATTTTTCCTAGAAGGTTTAACTTTTTTTCAATAGCATCAGGACTAGATACGCGCCAAATACCAGTAGCATATATATGTATATATATCCGATTGTAAAGCTTCATGATAAGTTCGTTGAAAAGAAACTCTTTCCAATGAGAATTTTCTACAAATTAAAAAGTAATGTATATGAGTCAGTAGTGTTAGTCATGCCTAATTTACTTTTCATCTGCAGTTTATAAAATTACTGTAGTAAACAGGAAAGGCAAATTAAACTTTGTAAGCTGACGAAATCATGTAGATTTCTTATATACTGTTCACACCTATAAAGCTGTCATTGAATGTGTGGATCGGACGCACAAAAACACTAAATTCCATAAGGCACATTCACACATATAGTTTTGGCTTATACTAGATAATTTTAAGATATTAAGCATATAACATATTGTGGAAATTTATAGCGAATAATAATACATCATTCATGAAATTCTATTCAATCAATGATCTCCATTAAGACAGAAAACTAAGATTTCAGGGAATGAAATTCTCTGAGAAAATCTCCTTTTCACACCTAATCCAAATAGAGAGATGATTGTCTGTCTTTTAAAAAAAATGGAATCACTGCAGAATAAAGCATTTTTTCGCTGAAATCCTTGTCTTAGCCTACTTTTATTTCATTAGCATTTCTTTCACTTATACGAATAAGTACTTATTCATTAGTTATAAATCATTTTGAAGAAGAAATCACGAGTGAAAAAAAATGACACAACCAACATACCACTGTGCTAAATACTCGTGATCAACTAGTTACAGGAAAGAAAATGGTATCTCAGTGACATTTACAAAGCCCAGCTTCTATGCACGAAAGAAACGGCCTATTTCATCATCTATTGCCATTTGTATTCGTCAGTTTATACAACAACTGTATCTATATTTCATAAGGTACTACAAATTCTCAAATGGTATTAAAATATCAGCCTTAAATGTTTATTTAGCATTTAGGTAAATATTAATAATTAAGTTAAATCGAAAGGATTTCAGGATATACAAGCTTCTTTTGCTCAGTACATCCTATTAGTAAAATATGCTAT